TTTCTAGAGAAGCTATTTTCTGCCAAAAAAAAATATATATGGGTAGCACATGAATTATGCGCACGTGCAATGGTTCAGAATTCCCCCAGAAGTAAAAGAACTAACTAGGTAAATGAAATAAATGGAATGAGGCTGGTGAGGGCTGCTCCTCTTTAAAAGTAGCTGATGAAAAAACAAAAATCAAAACCATAACTTGATGCAAAATTAAGGGCATATACTTTATCAAAATCAGAAAATGGAAAATGTTAGGGTTCACTAGTAACATTAACTGGCACTTTTGTCCATATTATGTTAGTCATATCCACATTAGGTGTATCGGTGCAGCTCTGAGGTCAGTGAGCTGTGCCAATTTACACTAATTGAAGAACTGGTTCTTCATGCTGGAAATTTGGATTCACTGGTCAAACTAAGCAAATGGTGACTGTTGAGATTACAGGGCAAGCTACGCTTTAGAGCCTTTTTCAGTCCCCGCCATGTGCACCCCTCTGGTGACAGCTTTTGCTTCCTTCACCCTTCTCTGGGTGGAACCACTTGGTCCTACCATCCTTAGACTAGATCTCTGGACTGCAGCCCAACTGTTTACCACCAGTGGTAAATTGACAGTCTCAACTGCTTTCAGCACCTGCAAGAACTTTCTCCAAAACCCCGTGACAAGCAGGCGATTGAAATGACACAAAACAGCTTCATCAAAACAAAATATTAATGCTACATTGCAGTCAGAGAAGTGAGTTAAAACAACAAAAGTCTATGAGCCAATTAAATATCCAACTGGTAAAACTGAGATACATATCCTATTCATATAAAATAATACAGATGTCTCCCTTGTTTTCCACAATGACCCTGGGCAGTGCAATAGGATTTTGTAGCTCTTGTGATTCAGGGCCCCAAAGGAGCTATGCGGCTTACTGAACTGAAGCGGCTGCCTTGCACAGATTCATAGTTACTGTGAATGTATGTCTCTGCAATTAGAGCAATATGAATTAATTGGGAATATAGGGATTGCCATACAGGTACAAACCAAGGAGCCATCCAATCAGCTGTTCTGTTTAAAAATAGTCAAGCCAGATGCCACCAAGAAAGGCAAGAAATCCTGCTAATACACCTCAGTATACAATATAAAAACAGTTGGTAGGATTTCTTTCTGATATGGTGGAATTGCTGGAAATTGGCTTGTGCCCTGAAGTGTGATTGATAACCTTTCTAATTTTGTTCTAAATATTACTGTTGCAGATGTTCTTGTTTTTATATTAACATCTAATCCTTTTCTGAAATATACTAAGCTATTTGCTTAATTAATAACCTGTGCAACTATCAAAGGGTAACTTATATGGCCTATGTTTTTAACATTCTGTGTTTGATGAAAGTGGCTTGGTATAATTACAAAGCTAGAAATTGTTCCTTCTCTTATAGATGACATTTCCTGTACTTGAATCTGTAGCTTTGCTTATGTAGTTTAATGAGTTAGGCTCTTTCCCCTTTTCTATAACATTATTTCCCAGCATTAAAACACATGTAGGCATACAGTCATTGCATTACAACATGAAACCTCAGATCAATATCTGTTGCAGTGGTTTCTCAGTCTGGAATCCGTGGATCGCTGCATTGTTGAAAACTACCAAGTAGTTGGAAGAGATTCTTTAATTACATTGCTGAAGCAACTGTCAGTCTTCATTCAGTGGCCCTTCCTGTTAGTGATAGCCTTGGCCAGGATTCTCTTTGAATTTCCAGAGATACTGGGACCAAGCCCTGGTCTACACTAAGAAATTAGGTTGGTATAACTACTTTGCTCAGGGATGTGAAAAATCCACACCCATGAGCGATGCAGTTAAACCAAACTAATTCCGGGTGTAGGCGGCGCTGGGTTGACAGGAGAATCACCCATCGATCTAGTTACCGCCTCTCAGGGGGGTGGATTACCTACGCCGACAGGAGAACCCCTCCCGTCAGCATAGGTAACATCTTCATTGAAGTGCTGCTGCAACGTTCTAAGTGTAGACAAGCCCCAACTAAACAAAACAAAGAACCACCATTTAATGTCTTTTTCAAGAGATTCTTTGATGTAAATTCAACCAGGATTAGATTTGTAGATGATGTTAAAATTGGAAAGATATCAAAAGTGTCGGAGGACAGAATCAAACTGCAGAATGTTTTAGGATATGTCTACACTTAAACCGCTACAGTGACACATGGGTTCTGCCATTGGCATAGGTAATCCAAGACATGGTAGCTAGGTTGATGGAAGAATTCTTCGGTTGACCTACCACTGTCTACACTGGGGGTTAGGTCGGCATAGCTATGTCTCTCCGGGGTGTGGATTTTTCACACTTCTGAGAGATGTAACTCTGCCCAGTGTTAGATTAGAACAATGGGGACCTTTGGCAAAAAAAAAAAAAAAATGGTGGGGGGGAGATTCTGTTCTCCTTGTGTGAGGGAAACCCTGTGGAGAGGAAATAAATAGCATAGGTCAAAAACGAGATTAAGTAAATAAATGAGAATATTGTCACTGATTTCAATATGGCCAAATCTTGATCCCACTGTATTGTTTTTTTCAGTTTTCAGCATTAATTTCAGGGCAGGTCTCCACTACAAACTTGCAGTGGCGCAGCTGCACTGCTGTAGTGCTTCTGGTGAAGACATTCTAAGGTGACAGGAGAGAGCCCTGCCATCAGCTTAATAACTCCACCTCCGTAAGAGGCAGTAGCTATGTTGGTGGGAGAAGCTCTTCCACTGACATAACGCTTTCTACACCACTGCTTAGGTTAGGGTTACCATATTTCAGCAAGAAAAAAAGAGGACGGGAGGAGCCCCGCCCTAGCCCCGCCCCTGCCCCTCCCACTTCCCG